AACAATAATCTTCTTTCTCTGTGGATTTCCCTTTTCTGAACATTTTATATAAGTGGAGTCATACAGTATGTAGCCTATTGTATCTGACTTTCCCTCAGCATGATGTTTTTGAGGTCAACCCTTGTTGTAGCATGTGTCAGTACTTTGTTCCTTTTTATGGCTGAATAGTATTCCATTATATGGATGTACCACATTTTGTTTACCCATTCATCAGTTAATGGACATTTAGATTGTTTATCCTTTTAGGCTATTATGAATAATGCTGTTATGAACACCTGTGTACAATTTTTGCATTAATGGATGTTTTCGTTTCTCTTGACTATATACCTAGGAGTGAAATTGCTAGGTCACTTGGTAACTATATGTCTAGCATTTTGAGGAACTGCCAAAGTGTTTTTCCAGAACTGCTGCACTGTTTTATATTCCCACCAGCACTGTGTGAGGATTTCAATTTCTCCAAATCCTTGTGAATACTTGTTATTCTCCATGATTTTTATTTTAGCCATTTTAGTGGATGAGGTGATATCTCATTGTGGTTATGATTTGCATTTCCCCAATGGTTGATGATGTTGAACATCTTTTTATGTGCTTATTGGTTATTTGTATATCTTCTTAGGAGAAATGTTTGTTCAAATTCTTTGCCCATTTTGTTGATTTGGTTATTTCGTGTGTGTGTGTGTGTGTGTGTGTGTGTGTGTGTGTGAAAATGTTTATTTCCTCAGCCCCAGTGACAAAAGAAAAATAATTTGGGTGGGGGGATAGGACAGCTGTTAAATGTAGTGAAGAAATTTCACAGGCCTAAAGAAACTATTAAATGGAAGAATGAAACAGATTTATATCATGAAATAGAATCCTACTTACGATAAAACACAAGTCAGCTTGAATTTCTGAATAATCAGTAGGATTCAAAGTGACAATTTTCTATTGCAATCTTATTCTTAATGTTCTCCCAGAATCCTTAATTCTGGGGAAAGCAGGGCAAAATATGGCCAGAGGTTTCAGAGCCTTTCATTCCAACATTACCCACCAGCCACCAGAAGGTAATTAAAGATGTGGCCACAGCAGATTCCAAGCTCCAAGGTCAATTCTTCCCATTCTCTCTTTCACTCTTCATTTTAGTTGATCTAATGAAAGCTTCTGACATCACAGTTAAAACACCTCAAGGTAAACCAGAGTAATAAATCCCATTTGCTTCCCTACTGGGTTTAAGACTGTTTTATTTTTACCGTAGTTGCATGTTTTGTTATGCACTGTTACAGACTGTGATGAAATAAAGGTTGTAAAGAGCCGATGAATGTATGGGCCTCTTAATGTGCAAAACCAAATAATTCCTAAAAGAGTTGTAATCTCTTATGAATAATCTTTAATTTTTCCTGTAAATACAAAAAAAAGTGTATGTTTCTTTTATAAATAATCTATATTATATTTTCCTGTAAATACAAAAAATTTTTGAAGAAATTATTAAAGCCTGTACTTAATACAAAAGGGGGTAGGGGCAGGGAATCGCCCATTTTGAGACCTATCTTAGCTGATTTCTGGATACTTTCTGATGAGATTTAATCCCACTCTGGAAGCCTGTGCTTTCTGTCCCCTAAATGGTGGCCACAAGCCTTTGTGATTATTTCTTTTTATTGTATATCCACATCTTCTTTATCCATTCACCTACTGATGGACATCTAGCTGCTTTCATATCTTGGCTATTACTAGTAATACAGCAGTGAACATAGGGATGCATATATCTTTTTGAATAGGTGTTTTTGTTTCTTTGGATAAATACCCAGAAGTGGAATTGCTGGATCATATGGCAGCTCTATTTTTAATTTTTTGAGGAATCTCCATACTGTTTTCCACAGTGGCTGCACCAATTTACAATCCCACCAACAGTGTGCTCCACATCCTCACCAACACTTGCTTGTTGATTAATTGATGATAGCCATTCTGACCAGTGTGAGGCGATATCTTGTGGTTTTAATTTTCATCTCTCTGATGATTAGTGATGTTGAGCATCTTTTCATTTGTTTGTTGGCCATCTGTATGTCCTCTTGGGAGAAATGTCTATTCAGGCACACTTTCCATTTTTTAATTGGATTGGATATTTGTGTGTTTGTGTGTTAAGTTGTATGAGTACCTTATATATTTTGGATATTAACCCCTTATCTGATGTATCATTGGCAGATTTCTTCTTCTATTCAGTAGGGTTGTCTTTTCATTTTGTTGATGGTTTCCTTCACTGTGCAAAACTTTTTAGCTTGATGACATCCCATTTGTTTATTTTTTCTTTTGTGTCCCTTGCTTGATGAGACATATCCAAAATAATATTGCTAAGAGTGATGTCAAAGAGTTTATTGCCTGTTTTCTTCTAGGAGTTTTAGGGTTTCAGGTCTTACATTTAAGTCCTTAATTCATTTTGTGTTTATTTTTTTATATGGTGTAAGAAGGTGATCTAGTTTCATTTTTTTTTTTTGGTATGTATCTGTCTAATTTTCCCAAAATTGCTTATTGAATAGACTGCCTTTACCCCATTTAATATTCTTGCCTCCTTTGTCATAGATTAATTGTCCATATAAGTGAGGATTAATCTCTAGGTTCTCTATTCTTTTCCATTGATCTGTATATCTGTTTTTATGCTAGTACCATGCTGCTTTGATTATTATAGCTTCATAGTATAATTTGATATCAGGGAGCATCATACCTCCTACTTTGTTCTTTCTCAAAATGTCTTTGGCTATTCAGGGTCTTTTGTGGTTTCATATGAATTTTAGGGTTAGTTATTCTAATTCTGAGAAGAATATCATTGGTATTTTAATAGGATTGCATTGAATCTATATATTGCTTTAGGTAGGAAGGACATTTTGACAATATTAATTCTTTCAGTCCACAAGCAGGTATAGCATTCCATTTATTTGTGTCTTCTTTTAGTGAAAGTTTGGAAGTAGTAAACTTTCAGTCTTTATATGTCCAAACATGTATTTATTTTACCCTTAAACTTGAATGATGGTTTAGCTAGGTATAAAATTTGAGGTGTATAGTTACTTGCCCTCAGCATTTTGAAGGTATAACTCCTTGATTCTGTTATTGCTGGGATGCCTGTTATCTAATTGTCATTCCTGTGTAATACTTTACCATGTTATCTCAGGTTTTTTCTCTTTGATGCTCCACAGTTTTACTATGATATGGAAAATTCTCAGCTATTATTCCTTCAGATTAGTCTTACTACTATTTCCTCCTTTCTCCTATTCCAGTTTCTCTTGAGCACCCATTGATACCTTTATCCTTTGGGTTCTTTGAACTGCTTGATCATATCACTTGCATCTGGGTCTCAGTGTTGTCTTCTGGTTCACTTCCTCAATTCTGCCTTTTAATTCACAAATGCCACATGAGCTCTTGGATTAGTGCCTAGTCTAGAATTTATGCCACTCGTTGAGAGTTGTTTTTGTTTTAAATTTTAATGGTAATGTCTTTTATGTCCACCATTTCCAAATTATCATTATCAACTAGTCTCATTCAGTTACACCTGTTTTGCTCCAAAACATGCTGTTTGTTTGTTTTTTTATGGGTATTAGTCCTTTACTAAGGACTTTTTGATATCGTGAAATCATTTATTTAGAATATTTTTTGTTTTTGTTATTTTCTTACTTTCTCTCTTGACTAACTTCTCCCTGTCTATGGTTTTGATTACTTCCACCCAGCCACCATCCAGGACCAGGTTTTATAGTGATTCAGTGCCCTTGCCCCACAGCATTATTGGGAAAACATGTTTTGGTTTCTAGACTCGAGCCTGTGTCTTCCTTCCTTCCTAGACCCATAGGCTGCCATAAGCCCTAGTCCAGCGGTGTGCTGGAGACAGCTCCTACAAACTCACAAAAACCAGTTATTAAATTTTACGGAATTCTGTGAGCTGGTTGTTAAACAGCCATTATTTAAATTATACAAACTCACCATTATGTAAATTATATTTAACAGTCAAGGCAATGATTACTCAAAACTTAGCATTTTCTAATTATCTTGCTACATATTACTATTACCCACGCGCAAGGTCTGCAGCATTTGTATCTGTGTGGTAGAAACACTGTGTAATGGGAGCTGCCAGGCATCTCTTCCCACTCTGGTTCAGTGACATTGTGTTCGTCATTTGCCATCGGCCATGATAAGAGTTGAAACCATGGAGATTAGGAAACATTACAATCAGGTCTTTTCTTCTTCCTAGAATACTTGTTTAACATACCAGCACGACATTGCCCTGGCCCAGGCATCAGGTAACAGCAGTTTTCTTCCGTCTCCTTCCATAAAGAGAGGCACTGACACCACCTCTGTTTAAACGGGGCTCAGGCTCGATTTCGTCGTCTCACAGAAAGTGCTTTCAGCCTCGATAGCTCACAGTCAGAACTTTACTCCCCAAAGCTTTGCAACCCCACTCATTATGCTGCTTTCCTGTTTTGTTTGTGGCCCATGGCACTATTTATTTACTTATTTACTTATTTATTTATTTACTTATTTATTTATTTTTTTATTTTTTTATTTTTTGATGTTAAGGTTGCCTCCATCCTTTGGTTTTCTTTTTTATGTTTTATGCGTCATCACTTTAGAGTGGAGGATGTACATTAAATATTGAACATGCTGTGCTATCTTGGCTAGAACTCTATCTACATTATTTTTCATAGACATATAACTTCAATCATATGGATGCTCATATTGCTCTCAAAATATTTCCTTCAGCCTCCTTCGTCTCCCCCAGAGTCACTCACCCCGTGTTCCTTTTCTGCTCGTCTTCCCTAACCCTTTCCTGTACCAGTTACGACACACGTGGTAACATGCTGTACCTGTGTGATCCTTAGAAAGGTTCCGGGTGTCACTGTGCTGCCTTCTTACTTATTACATACTGAATAATATTATGTGTGTAATATAATAATACATCACTCTTCAGACAAGAAAACATTGGAGCCCCCAAGTTCCCTAAGTGGAAATCCTTGGCCCCCTAATGTTTTTTCCCTTGCCTGCAGGTGTCAAAGCTGTGTTCTCGGGCCACTACCACCGGAATGCAGGGGGCACCTACCAGAGCCTTGATGTGGTGGTATCGTCTGCCATCGGGTGCCAGCTGGGCAAAGACACCCATGGGCTCCGAGTCGTGGTGGTCACCGCTGAGAAAATTGTTCATCGGTACTACAGTTTGGATGAGCTGAGTGAAAAAGGAATAGAAGATGACCTGATGGATTTGATGAAGAAGAAATGATTGCCGTTTATGATCCATTCACTTTTCACTCCCACTATTTTTTAATTTTGTCAGAAGCAGCAGCTGCACACAACCACTTATTGAATATAAAAGTATACCAGGCAGATTTGTGAATGTATGTCCTTTTGCATAAATCAGAGCTGGGTCCTATCCTGAATTATATTTGAAATAGAACTGCCCTCCCTTTAAGAAAGAGAGGGGGGTGGGGGTTGGAGCCTGGGGATAAAAGAATAAATGATACTAGAATATCTCTACATGAGTGTTTGAATAAACTCTCCTAATGGTGTGTTTCTCAACCATCTCAAGTTCTCTGCTTTTGAATCACATTGTTTTCTGTCTCTTATGTCTCTTATGGTGAATGTCTACCTGTGGACCTCCATCCCAACTGGATATCCAAGAGCGATCTTTGGTAATTCCTTGAACAAACCCCATCCGATCATGTTAAATTGTAGTCATGACTCTGGTGCTTGCAACACGAAGGTCATTCCTTTCCCTCCTAACAAAACAACTGTCTCCTCATTTTAACAAGGAGCAGAGTAGCCGGCATTTGATGTAAAATGTCCAGACCTCTATGCTGATGTCATTGGTACAAGTCAGAGCTTAAGTTGGCCTTCTCGGGGACTACGGAAGTCACCTTTGCACACATATTATAAAAATCTGTGAAAACCTCGTCCAAGAGACCAGCACCGGAGCCCTAAAGTGCACCCCCTGCAGCGCCCGGAGCACACTCTGAGTGGGTTCCCTTCACACCAGATGCTGCGGGAGCTCCACAGTTTGCTGCCTCCTGCAATCGGAATGACCCTCCGTTCCTGAGACTCTTCACTGTGTCAACTTTGACGGAAAAAGTGGGAATTAATGCAAGATTAAAAGAATCAAAGCAGGAATTTCGGTGGGGCAAAAACTGCTTTCAGCCGCTTTCCGGGAATTGGCGCTGACTTTGGTTAACTGCACCAGCCCGGCGGCGCCAGGATGGGGCGATCGGCGTTGCTTCCTCGCAGTCGGCCTTGCGGGGACGTCTCCGCAGCTCCGGGCCGCTGTGCCGTTTCACCGGGCGGCCTGTTCGGCGATGTCCCGATGCACAGGGAACCAGGCACCCCCGGTCCTGCAGGAACACCCCACAGCATCCCGCAGCAGCACTCAGTCACCCTAAAATGCCTTGAACAGCCGACAGCTTACAAATGAACTGCAAAACCCATTAAGACTTTCTTGTTAAAAAGTTTTAGTCAACGCAGCAAAACCATGAGAAATTAAGTAGAAAGATAATTGGATATGTAAATTCATAAGGAACAAAAGACAAAAAGTTAATTATGCTACGGATCGGTGGCACGCCATAGCTCATTGTTACGTGGCACTGGAAAATTAAAAAGTTTCAAAATTAGGATGCCCTTGTTTTAGGATTTTGCCGCGTGCTTGCTTCGTGCTCATGTTTCTTCATAACCGGCGTGGATCTGAGCTCAGGAAGAGGAGATTCAGTAAGCGACATGATGGCCACACGTGAGGCATGGGAGCGGTAACGCTGAGCATTAGCTGCCACAATCGTGTACCCGGATCGTAAAGGCAGACGGGGGCTCACGGGGAGGAAGGGGAAGAGTTTAGTCACAGTGGACGGACGGAGCCACCTTCGTGGTGTCACATGTCCAAACGCCCTGGGCTGTGTCACTTGAGTTTCGAGGGAGGATATGGAAAAGCAATGGAAATTAAATTTACTAAGCCTCCTTCCCAAAAACCTAATAAGTCAAAGAATTGATTCAAAACACAGCAAGAATATGCCAAGAATAGGGAATCCTGTGAAATTCTCGCTATTTTTAAAGTAACCAAACAGCAGTATTCCCAGTGGTGAGAAGTTCAGAAATGCGTTTGTAAATAAGTGTGTATCATTCTGACGATGGGTAAGTACTAATGCATTCACTTATTTTCTTTTTTGTTTTTTAAAAGATATTACACAAGTGCCTTATACCGTGCAAAACAAGAAAACAGTGATCATGAGTGCTGCGGCTTCTGGGTGTTACGTGCCAAATGCTGCGGTTCGGAGAGGCGGTGCCGCTCGCCAAGGCCGGGCAGCTCTTGCAGGGGAAGGAGCGAGATGCAAGCAGTGGGACTGTTGAGCCCGTGCCCCTCAACACTGCCCCCTCTTTCCTGGAAGGTGTCTTTAATGGGTGTGAGTTTGTACCAGCTCGGCCCACGGCAACACTACGGTATTGGGCACCTTTGACCACCTTTCCTGGGCGAGAACCCAGCGTTAGCTGGAGGACGTGGGCCAGTAAGCACATGAAAAATGCTCAGCATCACAGCCAGCGTGGAAGAAGCACAGTGAGACACCATCTGTCACTCAGTGGAATGGCCACAATGGAAAAGGCTGACAATACCAAGTGTGGGTGAGACTTTGGTACAACCCTAACTGTATCACTGTGATTCGCATTAAGGAATATTTATTTGGCCTTCTTCTCTGTCCCTGGCAGTCTCTAAAACCCTTGGAATTTCCTAAGGGATAAGAGATATAAAGGTGCTTTTTGTTATTCGTAACAAGTCCTTTTCTGCCTCACCTGGGTTTATGTTAATGAGGTGACTTTTGCAGAGTCCCTAAGGGTGGGGGCTGGTTGCTAGGGGAACCAATTATGTGATTAGAGCAGCGGATTTTCAACCCTTTTCATCTCATTGCACACATAAACTAATTAAGAAAATTCTGCAGCACACCAAAAAAATACATTTTTTGCTGATCTGACAAAAAAAAGTATAATTTTGATTCATTTACACTAGGCGGCTACTGTGTTGGCTGTTGTCATTTTTTTATTTGACAATCTAAGGGAAAAGAGGTCAGATATTGCATGTTTTAAAATTCTCGCAGTACACCGGTTGAAAATCGCTGGATTGGAGGGTTGGAAGTTTTAGCCACATCACCCACCCTCTGGGGAAGGCAGAGCGGCTGGAGATTGAATTAATCACTAATGGCCAGTGATTTAATCAGCCAGGCCTATGTAATGAAACCTCCATTAGGAAACAAAAAGATGGGGTTCAGAGGGCTTCAGGTTGGTGAACACATGGTGATTCGGGGAGAGTGGTGCACCTCGAGGGGACATGGATGTCTCACGCCCCTTCCTTGCCCTACACATCCCTTCCAGCTGGCCATTCTGAGTTATATCCTTTTATAATAACCTTGTAATTTAGTGAGTGAAATGTATCCCTGAGTTCTGTGAGCCACTTTAGCAAATGAAGTGAACCCGATGAGGGGATTTGGGGAACCTCTGATCTATAGCAGGTCAGTCAGAAGCACAGGTGACAAGTTGGACTTGCAGTTGGCCTCTTAGGTAGAGGGTGGGGAATCAGCCTCTACCCTCTCGTGGGAAGGAGCCGTTAGCCTGTGGGATCTGAGCCGTCTCTGGGCAGTGTCAGAATTAAGCCGTAGGACACCCAGCTGGTTGAGCAGGATTGCCTGGTGTTGGGGGGGAGAACACTGGTGACTGCAAGTGCAGAAGGGAAGTATTCTGTGAGGAGACAGTAAAGGGAAAGAGCTTTTCACACGTTAATTCATACATTCCTGGTGAGAATATACGCGGTACAACCATGTTAGAAAACAGTCGGGCAGCTTCTTAAAACATTAAATTCCACCATGTGACCCAGTAATTCCATTCTTGAGTAAGGATTTACTCAAGAAAAATGTAAACATATATCCACTAGGAACAAGCCAAATGCCCATCAATAACTGAGTGGATAAGCAGAAGATGGTGCGTCATACGCTGGGATACCTCTCAGTGTTACAAAGGAAGGCACTTGGTAAACGCAACGACGCGGATGAATCGCAGTGAAAGAAGTCTCACTTCTTTCCAGACATTTAAGCCAGTTCTATTTGCATAAAGGTCTAGAAAATGCAGACTAATCTATAGTGACAGGAGGCAGGTCACTGGTTGCCTGGCAACGGGTGGAGGAAGGATGGCCTGGAAAGGGGGTTCAGGGAGACTTGGGGTGACAGAGGTACTCTGCGTCCTTTTGTGTAGTTGTTCACAGGTGTATAATCTGCCAAAATTCATTTAATTGAGCATTTTCAATAAGTGCAGCTTAGTTTGTTTGACATAAAGTGTATCTCATTGAGTTGTTTAAAAATAATTTTTTTAAAGGAATTTATGCAGCTTGGGAAAGGGCAGTGTTTTCAAAAGGAGGCTTTCCATTGCATTTCATGCTGTGTCCAGAGCTCCTGCGCCTCCGGGGTCACACCCGGGCTTCAGTCCATGCTGTCCGGTTTCACTGTGACCCTGGGTTCTCTGGTGACATTTCCCAACCTGTCTGCACCTTAGTGTGCTCATCGGTAAAGGGCACACACTGTCAGGTGGATAGTCGCACCCTCAGGTCAGACGCGGCCTCCCAAGTAGGGGAGCGTTTCCCTCGCACAGGGTCGGTCCCGAGTCCTGCAGCCCGTGTCTCCAGGATGCCCCAGCAGCTCACCATGTTGACGTCCCCTGATTCCTGTGAGCAGGAGGGCTGCCCAGCTCCAAGCATCAGGTCCTCACAAAACCATGTTCAAAGACAGGAAGAAAAGGCTGGTGGGGGGAGGGGAGAATCTTCATCTCCAGAGTTGCTGTTTCCAAGAGAAAATGATCTCCCAGACCCCCCAACACATCCTCGACAGGTCTCATTGGCCAAAACCAGAAATGCCAACCATACAATCCAACAGATGCCACAAGTAAAAGAAAAAAGCCAGGCGGGAGGAGGGCCAGGACCGGCTGTGGTTGTGAGAGCGCCTCACTGGGTTCCCGAGGCCACACTGCAGGTCGCCGAGAAGTGAGCAGGAAAGAAAGGGGAATAAATAGGCAAGGACCAGTTTTTCCAGGGAACCTGGGAGGGGAGTTAAGAAGCGGAGAAAAGTGGGGGTTGAACCTGTGAACAGAAGGACGAAACGATCAAGGGAACCATGGTAAAGTGGGCACAGAAAGGGGGTAACTGATGGGACGCGGGCATTGGAAGGGGAAAGAGATGAACCCACACGTTTGGAGCACAGCCTTGACCTTGAGACGGGAATAAGAGGGTGGGAAGGGCGGTAACAGCAAGAGGGTGGACGGACCCCGGGCTGACCGACCGGCAGGCGGACTCCGCTTCCTGCGCCTGCACTTCTCGGGGCCCCTGCGCCTGGGCCTCGCCGTGCAGCACGTGGGCCTTTCCGGACTCGTGAACAGTTCACTTTCGTCTTGTCAGGCGGACGCCACCATCTGCACAGAACTGGTGGCCATCTGGCTTCCTCTGAGCTCTCACCGCTGCGAATACCTCAGGGCCCCGGACCCTCGGCGCAGTGGTTACAGCGGGAGCTCCAAT